CATTGATGATTCTAATGTCCTTATGATTTGGATTTATTTTTCTGCGGCTTTTATGATATAAAATTATTAATCTGATTTTTTCGGATTTCATTATTATTAACTCAAAATTCTCAAAATATTTATGTTAGAAGAGTATATTTTACATGAAATGTATTAAGACTGTATACTCCAAACATATTTCAAGGGTTTTGGTCTGTTTCTTAAGGGATAGGGTTTGCTAATAGAACCTGTAACAGGTATTCAAAATAATTTCATTCTATCTGAGCCTAAACACTCTATCGCGTAAAGGACATGACCTTCATCTAATGAAATTGAGAGAAATGTTTAAGGATAGAAACATCAGTGCAGGCAAAGTAATGGATAAAATATACTGCTTTAAAAAGTATGTGCGATAAAACAAAAATGCGCACAAAATTAAATATTCAATTTCGAAATTTTAGTTTCATTTTAATGTAAGCTTCGCTTGAGATAAAAAAGTATTATTAGATTCTAATTTTTCCTATATTATTGTAGTTTTTTGTTTCTTTGTTTTAGTGCTATCAGCTTTTAAAAGAATAATTAATATACATCCGGCTCTGCTCCATTCATGGAGGGCGAGCAGTTTCAACAGGGAAAATAAATGCAACTTTCCCTTTTATTTAACAAACAGAAGAAATGAAGAATGTATATATTCATATATTCGTTTTTTCAAAGGAAATGAAATAACAATTTTGTGAAATATCGCTAGTTAATTCCATCTTTATTCCTTTGAAAATAATATACTTAGACCGAAGTGTTTCTGATGTTGTTTCATTTTCTATAATGCATAAATATATTGAAAAAGAATGACAAAAAGTAGAATCAGATTCTATTCTATATTGATTCAATTAAAATTCATGAGATGTTGATTGCGATATGTATCATGTGTCATCGGAAACAACATTATCATTGGCTAAGAACAAATAATTCTTTTAAAATGTACATAACATTTGACGGATACACTTTTTATTCTTTGTTAAAATACAAAATGTGATTAATACGGGTGTCATCCTGCGATTGTATTAAAACAAAAGTCGAAAATAGCTGCCATAGCTTTTTTTTAAACAAAGATTACGCTATCTTTTGAAACCTTTTATGAATCGGAGGTTATGTTCTTAAAATTTTTTAAAAGGTATACAAATAATTCTACTTATTCATAAAACGACTAATACATTTTCTTCTTATTCCGTTATTTCTCCAGATTCGATTACTGTCTCGAAAACGCATATGCCATTATTTTTGAAGTAACATATTCTCATATATATATGTGATGTACCAGCTTTAGTACTTATTATTATCAGACGATAAGTTTAAAAAACAGGATCCATTTATTATTATTCAGGAGAAATAGCAGTTACAAAATCAGATATCCAGAGTAAATAAAAAAGAACTACTAATAACTTTTTGTATGAAGTTTACTGCATCGTGACATTTAAGAAAAAGCCCCCGATATTCTTTTTGTGAGTCTTTTTATAGCCTCTGGAAAGGCGGAGCTTCCAAAAAATGACGTCAGCCTCGTCAGCCAATCCAGTTCGCTTTAAATATTTCCAGAACATTCTATAACTGTACGTGTAGAGAAGGCGAGAAAAACAACTTGACTACGGGGCTGTAGATTTAATTCCACGTACTTTCAAATAAGAGAACGTCGCCATTACAAATGAAAAGAACATACAATTAGAATTTTAAGTGTATTCTTGACTATGGAATTTTTATTACATATATATATATATAGTTTTATATATAATTAAAAGTTAAGTTGTAAGAACAAACGAAAAAAGACCAATTTTGGTCAAAATTTTGCGAATTGTGCTGCAAAATTAAGGAAATTAGAAGATAAATTTTAGTACGCTTGCCAAAAAGTTACCAAAAACTGTGGCTCCGTAAAAACTTCAACATAAGCATATTTAGTTGCTATGAAATGTGTGAAAGAGAAAGGAAAAAAAACAATATTTGAATATTTACAAGTTAAATTAATAAAAAAAACGTACATGCTAAACAAATTAAGTAATTTTTAACACAGTAAAAAAACAAATCAATTGAACGAGGTAAAATAAAGATAGTAAGCTATATGCTAAACGCATAAAGTAGATTTTAAAACACAGTAAAATACTAATCAATTGATCAAGGTAAACTATAAAAATATTAAAATTAAGAAGCGGTAAATGGTTAATTACCCCAATTCGAAGTTCATTTTGGCTTGTCAAGGGGAAATTTTTTTAAATGAATCTCGAACCAAGCTAACTCCATTACGCGTTTCGCCGAAACAGACAATTGAAATTTTGCGCGACAAATTTTTTAATGAAGTAAATAAACTATGTCAAAAACCTTAGTCTCAATTCTCTGTTTCAATTTCCCGACGCGTCCGCATATATTGACACATTAAGGTGTAAAAAATGGAAAGGCAATTCCTATGTAGAGAAAAAATAAATAAATAGCGATATGCTATTAGTCAAAATATACAAGAAATTATGGGTTGGACCTGCGAGCTTAAAGAATTAAAACTTTGTAAAGAAACCGTAAATTATATTTAAATCAAAAAGGAAAAAATAATAAGTAAGACGACAAGTAGCATGTGTCTTGCCAAGACCTAAAAAAACTTTTAGAGAAAAATTATAAAAATTATAGTTTTATACATATATATACTGCGTACTATATTATTTATTGCACTAATTATAAAATAGTTTATAGTACATTGTTTAGAACTCAAAAGTTTTGCTACCTTCCACTCTATTTCAAATTTTACTCTATTAAAAGGTTCTTGATTTTGACTACATTTTAACGAAGTACCACATATAAAAAATCGTGTTGGCTTGCCACCTTACAGGAAACTAAAGTTTTTAACTTGGTAAGATTCCACATAAGTTAGTATTAAAGTGTTTGTGCTTTTAAGAAAATTTTCTTTTTAAACAATGAAATAATGTAAGATTATATTTCATGCTCTTACTTGTATTTATCACGTTATATCGCATTTGCTTATCACGTTAATAATGATGATGTTTTTCTTATTTAGTATCATCTTTAAGGAGAGAGGAAGATGGAACTGATTGCACGATTTGAATTTTGAATTTTTTTGCCAGTTCTACACTACTTGAGACGGAATTCAGGTCAACTTGTGTTTCATCAAAATCGCCCGCCTGAATTAAGAATGTTAAAAATCAGACATATATCGCTTGGTGTAAGTGTAAAGTGCTAATAGCCTGTTCAGAGATCAAGCAAATTAAACTACTCATCATTACTGAATTATCTAAATATAATATCTTAATTTTCATTACTTAACTTTATCTTAAATCAGTTTGATATATTCTTTACCAAGGTCTCTAAACGTTTTAAGGTAATACCCATACATTAATTTCTACAATACCAAGAGGGTCATAAGGAAGATTACAAGGTACAAGAAATGATCTATCTCAGCGGTTCTCAACCTTTTGACTAACATATATAATCTAAACAGAAATTTTAAATCATTAGTACCAGCACTTCATTTTACAATGATTATTTTTCAATTTCTCGATCGAAATATTATATATATTGCCATTTGCACAACCTATTAGGCTATTCGTATTAAATATGCACACACAAAAAAATACTAAACTAAAAATTGGTTACCATTTTAATTATCAAAATTTAAATTATAATACTTTGATTCTAAAATTTATTGTAAAATTTTTTCCTGTTTAAAAGTTTAAAGTACAAATGAACCACATGATTCATTTGCGCTTCGGTAACTGAGGATGATGATTCGGTAAAAGCATCCAAACTAGTCCTGTGAAAATTTGCAAATATAATGCTGATTTTTGTTGTTTTAATTCTAAATTAATACTTCTTCGGCATGTTATTTTACCTTAGTAGAGTCCCGCAAACTCGACATAATGTGGACTGAGAGACTGTCGAGTTTCTGAAAAGTCGAGTTTTACGGTATAAGGGTGTGCGTTTTGCGGAACTAATGTTTAACTCTCTGTTGAGCGCGATATTTATGATCCTAGAGAAAAATAATATATGAATTAAAAACATTTACTCTTGTTCATTGATCTGTGTGTGGTGGTCGCTCTGTGAAACCAACGTTCGTCTACGACTTTGAAACTTACCGAGGTAGTAGGACAAAAAAACTTCTTTTTCCCGTGCGCATTCCAATCAGTGACGAAGTTTGTGAATTAAAAAAAAAAAAAAAAAAAAAAAAAAAAAAAGTGTTGAAAAATTGCATTATATATATATATATATATATATATTTACATTATTTTACAAAGTAAATAATCAGAAAAATAAAAAAATAAACATATATGTAATTTTTTTTACAGCTGTGAAGACATAAGGACGTAAGAATTAATGGCACAATGCGAAAACAGGAAAACTTACAGAAAAAGGACACTCAAATCTTTGAACAGAACAGGAAAGACATACGCATGAATAATAATTAAATGTACCGTATGCAAAATTTGCTCTGTTCGGCCTAGAGATATCATAAAAATGTTCCTAAAAAGCTGTCGATTTATACGGAATATCCAGATACATGCGGAGTGGAATTTGCGGGACTCTATTGTACTTGTTTGGCTCGTGATGTCATTAACGACAGTGGTGGGGATTTATTTTTACTTGAATGTTTCTACAGAAATGGGAAAAGTGGAAAAGGCGGTGGGTTCTGAATTTATTTTAGTGTTAAATATTTCTAAAATTGTGCCGCTTTCTAATATTTCACTTGGCTCATATACATTTTACAAGAGGGAGAAATTCTATCCGTAGACTGTAGTTCAGAGTTCTCTGGTCTGTATAAAAGTTAATTTGTTATATTTACGACATTTAAACTGTGAACAATCATAGAAAATTTTATAAACTCATTAAACTGCAACTCAAAGTAAATTGTTCCGATAAAAAGAAATAAATTAGTTACTCATATCTTGTAGTGACGCTTGCTGGTATATTTCTGGGTACCTTTAAAGAAAATATGTTAATAATAAAATAAATGTGATTTTAATAATTTTACTTACTTTAGCCCATGAAGCGTTCTTGGATCAAGTCTTTTAAGAAGCAGCAAGCTTATATCCAACTGCTGAAGTTTCTCCAGGCCAACAAAGCTGTTAACACCAAGCACTTCAATAGGGTTGCTTGGATATATCCAAATATATTAGTTTTCTAATTTTCTCCCACAGGTGCATCGGGACATCTTGTAATAAATTTCCAGACAAGTCTAAATAACGAACATTACGCGATTTTTCGAATACTTGCTGAGATAGGTTGTACAGAAAATTATCTTTTAAACTTAAAACATTGAGTTGAGGAAGAGATAAATGTGACACAGAGAGTAAACTAGTATTACGCAGATTTAGACTTCTTAAAAATGTCAGTGAACCGAAAGGCCTTTGTTTTAAAATTCTTTGCAAAGGGTTATGAGATATGTCTAGCTTTATTAAGTGATTTAAGTCGTGGAAGCTCTGCTCATGAAGAGAAGATATGTGGTTGGAAGACAAATTTAAGGCTTGCAGTTTGTTCATACTTCGGAAGCTATGGGCAGATATATTTTCAATACTGTTTAATGATAAATCTAGATGTCTAAGAGTTTTGGCAACTGGTATTAAACTTAAAGATGGTGGATGTAAGAAATTATTATGGGATAAATTTAACTTTTCTAATACAGTCTGAGCAAAGACATCTGCTGGAAGAACGGAAATTTTGTTGTGACTTAAATCCAGAATTCTGAGATGTTCCATACGTAAAAATGCACTGTCAGCAATATATGATATGTTATTATGATTCAAGAACAGTATTTGAACACTGGAGCAACATTCAAAAACTGTCGGATCCACAATATCAAAATTATTATGAGATAAGTGCAATACTTGCAGAGTCGGCAGCGAAACTAATGGAAGATTGGAAATATAGTTTTTGGATAAAAATAAGTGTAATAAACATCTAGAAACAGTGAGGAAAAAGGAGTCAGGTATCACAGATATCTGATTATTAGTGAGATCTAACGTCCTAACATTTAAAGCTTTTAAGGAAGTTGTATTTTCATGATTTAATTCTTTCAATGCATTGCTGGAAAGGTTTAAATAAAGTTTCGAAGTTTCGCTTGTGATCGCATCAAACGAAAAGGATTGCAGCTGATTATCCTGTAGAAATATGTTTGATAATCTGTTCAGGTTGTGGAAAGCAGAAGATTCTATTGATACTAAATTGTTTTTAGAAAGTACAATAGTATGTAAATATGTACAGTTAGAAAACGAAAAGCTTTCCAGAGTATTTATTTTATTACCAAATAAAACAACAGTCGATAGGTGTGGCATGCTCTCGAAAGTTCCACTTTTGATAGCTTTCAGCTCATTGTTACTAATATGGACGGCACTGAGATATGTATGCGTCTGCGCCTGAAATAAATCGACAGGTATTTCTTCTAGGTTGTTGTTGCTTATATCAAAATGACGCAACTTTGATAGCGAATGAATACTAGAAGACGATAATGGCGATATATTATTATAATCCAGTTGCAGCCATTCTAAACGATCAAGATTTTGAATAAATAAATCTATAGGATGATTGTAATCGGAAAATGCTGAGCTTAAGTCAAGAACTTCCAATGTATTTCTAAGAGGTAGAAACACATTTTGATCTAAGTACATTAAGTTATTAAAAGAAAGTTTCAGTTCTTTGAGTTTTGTCAAATATAGGAAAGTTCCACCGGATAAGTATGTCATTTTGTTGTTGGCTAAGCTTAGAGTTGTAAGCGTTCCACCCCACCCTTCAAAATCGTCACGATACACTTTTTGAATCTGATTATCTTGCAAGCTTAGACGTAGAAGCTTCGTCAAAGATTTCAGTGCCTTCTTAGGAACGTGCTGAAACAGGTTTCCTGACAGATCTAAGACTTCTAAAGAGCGCCTACAACCACTCATATCATTTCTCCCAAGCTGTTTCAGAAGGTTACTCTTTAACGACAAATATAACAATACTTTAAGGTTATTGAGAGCAGAAGGAAACATTTCCAGCAGATTGAAACTTAGATCAAGAGTTGTAAGAGTTTCTTCTATGCCAACGAAAGCATCCGAATGAATGAAGCTTATACGATTGTTTGCTAAAATCAGTCTCTCAAGCCGCGTTCCTTTAAAACTTCTAGCTGAAAGATTTCTCATAAAGTTGAAATCAAGATGCAGTTCTTTTATAGTAAAAGACCCATTGAACACGCAGTCTTCAATATGAGTTAACATATTATTGCTGAGTTCCATTTTCTCTAAATGTGTTGCATGCAGATGAAAGGGGCATGGCAACCTACGGAAAAGATTTCCAGATAGATACAAGAAACGCAAATTTTTCAGTGTGTAGAGAGCATGCAGAGGCACTTTCTTAAGTATATTATTAGATAGGGAGAGGGAATGGAGTGAGCGAGGCAGAGAATGACTACCAACGTCATGAATTATGTTTCCATCAATATCCAATAATCTCAGATTATTTAATTTTACGAAGGCACCTTCTGGTATGCTTGTGATGTAGTTGGATCCAAGGAACAAACTGTTGAGAGTCGATCTGCTGTTGAGTTGAGACCATATAAAACTGTGCACATCATCCAGTTGATTTCCTTGCAAGTTCAACCATTGTAGGTTATTTAAGGAACTCAGGACGGACAAAGGAAAATGATTTATTTGATTTTGGCTTAAGTCCAGAGTTGTGAGAATATTCTCCAGACTACTGAAAACTCTGGGAGAAAGGGATATTATATTGTTCTGCATCAAATGTAATGAAGCAACACTAGTACCTTCGAATACGTTATTCTGCAATACTTCCATTCCTGAACGGATCAAAGTGACCTGGAAATACAGACTGTTACTTTTCAGTGTAATAAAATTCAATACATAATAAAAGAAAACTCAGTTGAATTTTTGATTAAATGATTACTTTATTCAAAATGATTCAAGTTAAAATTATTTCTCCCTTCTTGTCGTGCCTTCGTGATGTGGTGGTCTGCACAATGGACCGGTATTCAAGAGGTCCACGGTTCGATTCCCGGCAAAGGCGTTGTTAATTTTTTATCTTTCCTGCTTCCAAAAATATACCTAATGTCTCTACAGTGGCGCCCGAACTAAAAGGATGTTGGATGCTGATTCTCCTTACCCAGGATTTGGCGATTGGGTCCCTTAAAAACCCCAGTCGTTCTTTAAAAGGGGAGTATATAACGTATTTCTCCCGCCTTCCCAGCGTTCCTTCGTGGTGTAGTGGTTCTGCACTCTGAGCCGGTATTCCAGAGGACCGTGGTTCGATTCCCGGCGAAGGCGATTGCTAATTTTTCATCTCGTCTGCTTCCAAAAAAATATCTAATGTCTCTACAAAGTAAAGGACGAAAATTCAACAATACATTTGAATTAAAGAAAAATAATGTTTGCTTTTCATTTGTAACTATGAGGAAAGTTCCTTTTTCTGAAATAAAGGACATTTTTTGTGTATAAATGAAAATAACAGGGTCATCGAAGAAGAAAGCCTAAATTTTAGAAACGTATTACTTACAATATGCTAAAGCTCTCGAGATGTTTCAAGTATTAAAAAGAGTAGAAATGCCTGTAATTTGCACCTTACCTTAGAAAGTTTTGATATTTGTTCGATTTATTACACAACAGACATCAAAACTGTATTTGCTATCTTATCAGTTGATCTGTTATATTTTTAACTCCTCGATTCGCTAATGAATCGAATAAGCGAACGCACGAAACTCGCTACAGTATAAATTGCAGAGAAATGAGAATGAGAAAGTTAAAAATTAGCGAATAAGTCCAACTTTTTTGTATATACATTTTGAGACATTGCGATAAGATTGAGCTAAGTTCTAATGCTTACTGAAACTTCTTTTGTCAAAGGTATTAGAGATGAGAAATATCTTCATTTACCAATGATTTTGGAACTTTCCGAAAAACGAAATCCGTTAAAAAAAGGCGCATCTCTCTGCAACTTACAACTTGGTACAAAAGCTCTGCAATACCACTTGAAAACTTACATTCTGTGCATATAATCATATTTTAACATTACCTTCAAGTTAAAATTCAATAAATTATGTATAATGTATAAAAATTATACAGGATTCTATTGTTTTTAGTGTTTTAAAATGAGTGCGTTCTTTGAAAAGTTATGAAAGAAAGAACTGTTTTCTAGACGGACATTTAATAAAAAATTCCAACTAATTTTTCCAAGCCACTCTGTAAAACGGAAACTCTGCGTATGTCTTCAAAATTTAGTTTTACAGATTTTAGAAGATTCTTCACTATATTCTTTTTTAAGGAAAATTATAATTCTGGCAACAGAAAGTACAAACGCCTTCCTAGCAAGCTTGCCTTTGAAGTGAGGGAGGATATGCAAAAATCGGACTCAGGAAATAATTTTTCATCCTACTGGTTAATGATGAATTGCCACACGATTCAGATAAAGCTGGCACCTATTTAGATACACCCCAGTACGTGGTCTTAATTTTAATTTTTTGAATCTCCCTATGTCCCCTAATCTAGAACCTTTTACATTTTTACAACTTTTGGATCATAAGGGCTATTTTCTGCAAGGGCGTTTCATGTTAGGAATTATTTCAATTTCATTACTTAATGATTTTCAGTGGAAAGCTAGTTTCAACATATCCGTATGAAAGTACCGAGTTTAACTGTTTTGACTTTAAGAACTTTGGATTCTATTATGCTAAGAAACTAAAACGCCTATTTCATTTGTGCTATGGGTTTATATCTCAGCGTATGGAGTAGCTCAACTTTACAGCATAGAAGGAAAAACGAATGCGGCCAAATATATTAATGTAATTGTAAGAAAAATGTCTCCTTCAGCTATTAGCATTTTCAAAATAGTATTTATATTTTTCAGGATGATAACTCATTTAGCCTTCGAGTACGAGAAGTAAAATGATGTTTTATTGGCAAGAATTCAAAAATTGTTAATTTTAGTAAATTTTAATGACTTTGAAAACATTTGAATAATAATGAAGTATAGAATCAGTTTATATATGCAAGGGAAATATAAGTATGCAAGGAATAAAAGAGCTAATTGAAGCTGTAACTTCATGCTGTTGTCACCTAATTCCAGTGAATGACCTTAACAATTTGCGAGTAGTATGCCGAAACGATGTGTATTGGCAGTTTTAAAAGAAAAAGTTACCCATATAATCTATAAAACCTAAAACATAATTAAAGTTTTTGATTACTATAAAATAGTTGATATTTTACTTTCTTATTTCCTTTAGAATTAAATAACTATTTGTAGTTTATAAGAATTACAAAAATATGTTCATATCAGCTCTACAGTGTATTTCTTTTTCTCAATAATAAGTACAATAATTTTAAAATTTTAAATCTTAAAAGTATTTCATATTATCTAAAAATGATTAAAATTGATTTACTATATATTAGCATTACCATTTAAAGAAAGTTTTAAAACGAGGTTACATTGTACAATATATATACATATATATACTCTCATGAAGTTTTGCAAAACTTCTGCACCAAATTATAAGTGCTCTAGAACTATAGAACAAACTCGATGCTGCTCATTGGTCAGTGAATTAGTCGAGCTCTGTTACTGGAGGCATTTGGAAATTTCTTTGTCAGAGTTTTATGTATGTGCAAAATTTATGTTATTAAACCACATTTCAACGTTTCTATCATGCTGAGGTATTTAACATTTGAATAATATAATTTTATAACCGTGAAATACTTTTTGGATAACCTGTATTTGTTAAAAAAATGTACAGGGTGAGTTAGAAGTACAGCTACATGTTAGAAGAAAATATAATATGTTGCTTTATATCATATTGAACTCGAAATTTTATCTGTTTTCAGTTTCAAATAACCGTCAGCATGTGAATGTTATCATTACAAACATAAGGCTGAACAAATCTTTAGCCAAGATAAGCAAAATATGCAGCAGAGAGTAACAACAGCAGCGTTAAAGCATGCATATTAGAATGATCATGAAGCCATAATACTAGATACACATGATTTTAATGCTAAGCATTGATACCGTCAATTGTAAAAAATAGAGGAAATATTTGCTTTCAAAGTGAAACATCAAGAAACGGCAAACCTCATGCAAAAACGTTCAGTAGTATCGTTGCAGCATCATAAGTAAGAACTGAGGGAGCATTTTAAAACGGCGAAGAATTTGAGCAATGAAATGAATCTGATGGTACTATTCTTCAGTTTGAAGATCCGACTTTTGAAACTTGATGCGTCTTCAGTCTGAAAATTTGACTATATCAGTTCTCCTAATTGTAATACCATCATGACACAATACTATCTAACATGGAACCGTATTTCTGACTAACCCGTTTAAAGGAGAGCTAAAATATTTAGTAATTTAGATAAAAATTGTATTTTGTTCTTTTTCTAATGCAAAATCTCCTAATAAATATCAAATGCTCGACTCGGTTTAATAATTTCAAAAGAAGCGTAAAATACAACATTCGTAGGAGAAAATCACAAAACATTCTAAAGACAAATTTTCAGTGATACTCAGGTGGTGTTAATTGAAAGGAAATGCATTATTATAAGATAAGTACCTGATAGATAGTTTCGGATGACAAAGAAGGGAAATCTGAGAAAGGAACTCCTCTACAGATGACTTCATGATGTGACCTTCTGCAAGTGCAAAGATGGTTGAAGTTGCAAATCTCGTTAGGGTGAGCTCCCGTAAGACTTAAAATCATAATCGTCATCGTTGATAGAAGAACGGCCATCTATGTGAATAGTTTACAAGAAAATTACTGATTTAAAACTTTAAAAGAAATCATCACTGAAAGAAATCATTTCTATTATTTTATAAAACGATTTATCAAATTGATTATCTGATAAAATAGTGTTATCCGAAATGGCTACGTTTTAATTATTTGGGAATAAATGGGGTTCTATTCCTTAAATCAAAACTTTTCTATTTGCTTTTGTTATGACAAGAGTTTGCCCACAAGGTTATTTACAAGAAGATCAAAGCAGTTTTGATTCTTATTTAAATGAAGCAAGTAGTTACTAAAATTCTGTAAGATTATTAGAAACAGTAATAGACACTCGTACAGTATAGTGTAATGTTATAATTGCTCTGGAAACTGAAATTGCATCCTACAGCCGTACTAGACAAATCATCGAGTAATCGCTACCTCTGATATAGTATGACAAAATCTTGAAAAGATTTTAATATACTTTTATTTAAGTCTTAATTTTTACAAAAAAGACATAGTTTGTGCTACAGACAGGAACCCCTACTCGAGGTGATGTAAATTATGCAATAGCAGTCAGATAAATTTAATAGTTCATCAAGTAATCTATGAATACTTTGATACTTTTGCAACCCACCAGTCACAGCAGGAGAACTCCCTTCCTGCTCTTACCAGTTCCTTAATGCGTTCCAAACGGACCTGGTGGAATTGAAAAACATCAGCGATGTTTTCTCCAGGAGAGGCAGAAATAGATGGAGCAAAGAGTGTGAAGCACCTTGCTTCTTTTAGAGGTCTACGAATACGCGGTCAAATAACTAAGCTTGCTCAGTTTAATTCTACCGGTGGATAAGTACCGGCTGCGAGAGAATGCAGAAGCTGGGATAATTACGTTTACGGGCGAAATTGTAACAGTGCCAGAAGCTCTCTGTCTCTTAGATTCAAGACCCCCAGCTAATTTGCGTTCTAAATATAAGGCTTATCTAAAGGTTAATTTACGTTATGGTGAAGAATAGAGAAGGAAGAAGTCACAGTAAAGACCAAAACCATAATAACTGATTAATTACTATTAACTATGTTACAACAGGTAACTTCAGTAACAAAACATGAGCACAGTGGTTTTAGTATTAAGTAGAGGGAATTATGTATATGTGCTAAATTGTCTGCCCATATTTAAGCTATGTACAATTTTTAAACCACTATTTAAGAGAGAAAGCACATGCATTAGGTATTGGCCTTCTGACATGTTTTGAATAGTATAGTAGGAATAAATGTTTATTTGGTATTTATGGATTTGGTAGAGGCAAAATATTAATTAGAGAAATGTTTTGCATAGCTAAAACCTCATTCGTGTTTGAAAAAAAAAAAAAAACTGCATTTTATAACTAACAAATGCATTCTATTTCTTATAAATTTTCGAAATCTTCCCGAACTTTTGAACTATTATGTATTCATCTTCTATCTAAGTTGCATTATTTCATTTCTAATTTGAAACCATACAGAATGAGGGAAAAATTTTTAATTTCGGTGATTTCACGTTCAAGATTAACAAAAAAAGTTTTCTTTACATTCCGAGTGCAATCAAAATTATCCTTTGAATTACAAAGCAGTGTTCAGGCATCGAAATAAAATCATTTTAAGAATTTTAAAAGGCATATGGAATTTTTTCTAATTCTTCGCATATTCTCAGTCACGTAATTGCCTTTTGCGCTACCAATATCGTTAGATCTTTCATTTGATTGTCAAGTAAACAATCTTAGTTTTCACATTCCAGTAAATATTACATAAGCAGTACGGCAAAAGCATTTGCATTAATAATTGCTTTCCTCTTTTCATATTTACTTTCTTAAGTGAATAGGAGACTTATCACTGAAAGATCCAAGCTGCTGAAAGGAGTTTTGAAGTAATCTATTCCAAGTTATAATAATAATTTTCTGAAATTTTAGCTCCTTTTGCAGGCGGAATGACGTGGCACTATTTTTGAACATTTTATTTAATTGTCGTTCTCAAATTACTTCTGTTTGTATAGGATCAGTGTTCTAGAACCGAATTAAATATCTCGCTTCTTGATCTACTAAAGTCTGAAAATTTTTATATTGAGAGAATTATTATAATACCTGCGCAACAACTTCCTATGACGTTTGAAGATTTTTAGGAAAACCGATGAATCTAATAACATTGAATTGGTGAAAAGAATGAGGGCTTTCTTTAAACAAAAGTTGTTATAATTTTTGAAGACTTAGTTTAATCAAAAGTTATTTATAACTTTTAGCATCTTTTATAGATATTTTATCACGTAATTTAAATTTTAATATCCTAGACATATGCAGAAACAAGTGCTTTAGACCAACAATAAAATGATTTGGCACATAAGAGGAACTACACGTTTTGAGTACACATTTAAAAAAAAAGAATATGCTTGCAACATAAATAATTTCACACGTATCAGCTTGACATGTAAAATATACTATGTACTTTCTTTGAATGTATTATAGGTTTTATTTTATAGTAACATTGTTTAAAAGTGATGAATTGCATTTTTGATAAGTTTCACGGTCCTATCAATGTATACGACGTTTTCAAAAAGTATTATGTAAAACCAAATGGTTCTCAAGCTACGTAACATAAAACGTAAGAAATATATTTGGTTAACGACACTAGTATTTCAGAGTTTCACAAAAATCACCCATTGCATATAGTATAAATTATATGTGTTATAAATTATATCAGTTAGCTACATAAGTAAAAGGACAAAACGGAAGTATAAATTAAATATAATTACAATTATTGATTTTAAATCTTGCTACTAGAATTATACCCTTAGACTGAGCCAAATCGTTTCAGATCTACTGGAAGACTCCACGCAAAGAAATGGGTGTTGTTTTGAGATACAAATGCTTCCTTACTATAACTGTTAAATATTTTTTAGCCTTTAATATTAGGTTCTGAAAATAGGAAATATGAACAAAAGTAGGAAAAATTCATTGTAAATGATGAGATGTAATCGATAATTTTGAAAACAAAAAGATTTCCCTTTATATATTTGTCGTCATTTGTACTTAGGATTGCCCCTGGCCGTATAAAAGGAATAGCAAACAGGCAAACAGTGCATGGGAGCCTATTATTTCCTACAGTTGTTCCATCTAGTGTCTTTGATCTTCTACTGCACGCTAAGGAAATTGTTGAGAAATTTAATGACCTCTTGGGATTAAAGAAAAACCGCATTTGCATAATTTTATTCCTCTTCTGTGGCTCTAATTGGAAATCGAAAACGTGGCATGATATACATCTTGACCAGCATATGACGACGTGAAATGTGGCTGCGTCAAGAGTCAGTTTGATTGATAATTAAGGAAAGAAGTAAAAAGCGGAAAATATTGTTACGAGTTTTGTTCATATATAGGGAATTTTACTACAGTTATATGTGAAATTGTTGTGTTTTTCTGTGTAATGTAACGCGAAACATATTTTAACAGAACGCTATGCAGGAAAAGTAATAAGACAAGGGCAAGTGCATTTAACATTGAGTAAATGAGTATTTCGGTAATTTGGCGAGATATCGCCAAGCTGACAACGGTTTTTACTACTTATTTTGTGGCCAAATTTGGCTAGAAATAGCCAGAAGTTGCAAAATTTCGCGACCATTTGGCGACGTTTTGATTCGGTCCCCGTATCACCGTAATATGTATTGAAATTAAATAAATGTAATTGACCACTGTGTTAACTGTAAGCATGTTTCTACCCTCATATTGCTTTCCAGTAATTTCGAGAAGCAGAAAGCACTAGAAATATCTCAGCAGCCGGTTGAAAACTATTTAAGCCTAAAGAGAGAGCATCTGCTCTCAATTGCTTAATTATTGCTGTGCGAGTCGTTAGTTCCGCGTGAATTGAGATATATCCGAGTTAGCTTTCTCTTTAGCTGCGTTTTGCATTACGTTATATTTAACATTTTTATTGAAGCGTAACTACTGATTGTACTGTGTGATGCTGTGAAACCTGTACGAGTATTTCTACAGAAAACTCCAAAACTTTGAAGCGTTTATTTTGATAAAGTAAATTTTTATTAACCTATCATCGGACCTGTGTTCGTATCACCTGTTCAACCTTTCCCTTTATAACATTCTATCAGTAATCAATAAATTAGTGTTAAGCAATTGCAGTTATAATTTGAAAGTTTTATTAAATATTGAATGACAGTATAATGAGACGTGGCTGGGCCGCATGAGAGAGAAGTTAATTAGTAGTTCTTACATCTCGTGCGGAAGCAATATTTGATAAGTCGCAATGGATAATAAATTCCTGCAATGCTATATGAAATCACGTATTTTAACTTTACATAATATTTTGCTAAAATAATGTATTAATCTGAAAATTTTATTTATGGACATTTTCAGAAATATTTGAGTTCGATAACATTATTTAGATTCTGGTTTAGTTTACATTTTAGAATGCCTCACGATGAACTGTTGAATTTGCTCGCTTCTGTTCCAAAATCTGTTTAAAAACATTTTCATTTGCAATGATATAAGCCAACTGAAATGTTTATGAACCATATTAACTTATTTTGACTATGTTATATGTACTTAGGTATTATGACTTATGTTAAACTTATTTTGACTATGTTATATGTACTTAGGTATTATGACTTATGTTAAACTTATTTTGACTATGTAAAAAAGTTCACGATGAATTAATAAGAAAATGTTCTTCATAATAATTCTTTAAATCATTAGTAGTATAATGAACTCATTAGTGAGAGAACTGGATACTGATACCTTTACTTCGTTTCTTATTCCTTTTGAAACAGAACCAGAACATGTGCTATTACGAGTTTTTTCGTATGCAAAGCGAATTGCAACGGGTTCCTTTACGATATCTTGCAAGAACGAAACTTTTACTTGATAGTTAATCTCAGTTGCTTTAGCACAGACACTTTTCTGCCTGTCTTCATGATTAAACTTGTATAATATACATTTCCCTACAGGCCATAAATTGCAATTCATAGAATCACTAAATCGTACGAAAAACTACAGAAAATTTTAAAACGTTCTGGTGAATCAGTTTTAAGATTATCAAAACAAGTAAAACATCATTTATCTCCTTATTCGTTAAATCTTTACATTAATTGTAGTAAAAATAATTGTTTACTTTGAATATGCAATTAATGGCTTCATTTCTACAAATCTTCTTTATTTGTTGTTTTCTACAAATCTTTTTTATTTGTTTTATAGTTAAACCTCCTATTCCAAGCTTATAAAGCTTGGAATAGGAAAAGCTTGGAATAGGAGGTTTAACTATAGAATAATATCGAATTTCTGGGTTTTTTAAAATTAGTTATCGCTCATATAGACCGTACATATATATATACTTACAGCAGTGTTCTCAACTTCAGTTTTCACTGCTGCATTTCCTGTTCTCACCATGCGAGGAATATTATTCCTCTTATCTTCTTTAAACTGTTGAAGTCCAAGTAATTTTAAAAACTTTAAGACAGAATTAAAAAAATTAACTTGCTACAATATGTAGATACATTCATTTATGTAATATTTAATAAATACTTCTTATTTTTATGCTTATTGATACTGAATTATCTTTATATTTAATAAATATAGCTAAGGAAAACCATTTCTGTCTATTCCATTGCTCTTATACAAGGGCTAAATTTGAACTTTTTTCAGCCATTTTGGATTATATAATTTGAACAATATCCTGCTGAATTTTTTCTGTGAACTTTTTTTTTTCGCAATTTGAGTATACAGATCTCAGACGAACAAACCCCCACCATTTGACAAAGCTAAATTTAAACAATCACATCCGATTACCAGAAAATAAAAAAAATTAAATTGTTATTAGTAGTTAATTCTCACAATTTCTTAAAACTGATGTTACATTTACAAAATGTTGCTTAGATAAATAAAGCTTTTAATCTGCTTTACTTACCTTCCAGGATAGCACAAGTAATGCTCACTTGCTGAGCACATTCTTTTACTTTATCCATCCTCCATCCAGTATGAAAAATGACATCGTAACACCTAAGGGAAACATTGTTTAAAATGTTTTTTTAAAACTCATTTTACAAAACTATGTGAATAAAAGAAATAATTTTATGATTATTAAGACATCAACCAAAATCATTTTTTGTATTTCTTAGGAGATTTCTAATTAATGCCTTGTAGTTTAACGGGTAAGTTCACCAATAATAAATTAAAATTCACTTGATTATATTAAAGAGAAAAGCACTTTCTTTATAAATTTGCATTTTTATTTGTAGTGTAGATGCAGCATTCAGATTATCTAATTTGCAATTTAAATAAGATAAATTATACAAACAAATTTACTAATTCAAACTTCAAACTCGTAATTAAATTTAGATAATTATACTAATTACTCGTAGTATCAGGATGAATACCATAGATTAAATGAATGAGATAAAGTAGATTGTAATCGATTTGCATCTTTAGAAAAATTACTGAATAAACCCAAAACAGAAAAGACAGATATGTTTAAAATATGCTATTATTTTTTTATAAAGGGCGAGCTTCAGGTCGTATTTAATTAATTTTAATTACTACCACTACATATGTAGTACGGCCTAAAAGAAATGCGACAACTTTATGACAATCCAGTTATTTTAATGTGCATCTTTACCGTACATTCTTACTCCAGTAACGCAAATGGTTCTTTCCAGAAAACTATGTAGATTTTAAGTGGCAAGCGTTGGTGTATAACGGTATGAGTGTGCGAGGAAAAGGAAGTTCGTTCGAAATCATCAGGTTGGCAAACATAAAGTTAAACCGTCCCTGCCTGAAGCGCTCAGTGAAATATTTGTCCAAATGGTAAGCTGTAATTGAATTTAAACGCGTTATTATCCGCTAGGAAGGTAATACGAATTGTGAATTCAGCGAGCTCAAATTTCGTTATACAGTTAATACCAAATCAACTGTATTATTGCTTTGTTATAGTTTCTGAGTTAAGACCTCAAACAGAGGCCTATTATAGTTAATTTGATTTCATTCAGTTCTGTATGTATGAAATTCCCTCCACGAAAACTCATGATAAAGAATCCTTTTAACAATGTCAGGATTGGTTTGGTTTATTTGACTACAGCAAAGTAGTCGGGGACTATTTGCCTTATAGGAGATATGCCTCCGTGAAAGACTTTCTAAGGGAAAATGGCTCATATACATGTTATATATGGAGAAAACCATGAAAACGCCCATTCGACGAGTTTCGAACCCTTAGTCGAACTACCAGTGTTTAGCGGTTTTACCACTCGGCCGCTGGTGCGCAATACCTATTAGGACTCATGCATACTTGTCACATGATCTTGTTATACATGATGGCCTTCAAGTTTAAAACAGGTGTCGTAATATTACATGGCTATACCAGGAGGTTAAAAGAAACAAAATGCCGTTGGAATGGTTTCCACTTTATTCAAAAGACCCGCAATTTCAAATTCCAGTGGTGCTCATTTCAAGACGCAAGCGAAGGGACACTGTTTTATAGTCGTCAGACTGCAGTGCCCCATACATCTCTTAACACTTTTCAGTAAGAACAAGGACAGTAGAAGTGGCACTTTTTCTGAAGAATGCATCCCAAAGGAGCAACTGTCCCACCTGTCTCCTTCCCGCCATGGGCAAAGGTCCTCGAAAGGGTGGCACTTCAAAGATTTACTTGCTTCATAAACTTGAAGCGCTTTTTGAATCCTAATCAGTTTGGCTTACCAGTTGGGCTGTCAATGGACCATTATTTTCTTAAAACTGCACTCAGTTATTGTAAATAACATGCACTATATCATTCATATATTCCTAATTTCTGTAGATATACAATACGCTTTTGATTAGCCTTTGCAGTTCGATGTAATAATTAGATTAAAAACATGTCCTACCCGAAAACTCCGATATCAGACTGATATCGTATTTTTAACATCTAAGAAATAGCCTTGAATGTAGCTGAAAAAATAGCCTTGAATTGGCCTTTCATGAGAGGTTCCGTATCACAAAAAGTATCCAATTACGTTGAAGAGCTTTCGATTGTTAAAAATAATTAATTATCAAGAACCTCATTAAATCGTAGCACAGCCTAATTAACAGTTTTTATTTTATAGAGACCAAACATCCTTTTTTGTTGTTGTTTATACTATAAAAGTAATAAATGACTTCCTTGCCTTAATTTAAACAATTAAGGACACTCCTCTTTGGAAATTATAACATTTTTATCACTGATATTTGAGTTAACTTATAATAAAATTTCTGTTATTTAATTCTGCCATCATGGTAGAAAATCAGATGTATAATTTAAAGGTGCAGTCATCGCGAATAAATATTAAAAAAAGCGAAAATCACTTTACTAATTTCCTTGTTAACATTCTGTCCAAAGTTAATTGTCCAGAAAGTTATAGGTGTTACTCTCTCCAACGTGATTCATCATATGTACTATGAAAGGATATCAGTGCAGGAAGCGTGTAATGAGATGCGTTCAGCTTTGGCAAAAATTTTCATTCATTAATAATAGACGGGTAGTGTTTGGTTTTCGTATCTCGAAGGATGACATGTTAATGAAGCTTCTGCACTCAGGTAGTTTCATGGCCTCTTGAAATTTTCTGTGGCAACAGAGAATATTTTTTCCCTTTAAATATGAAGCAAATTGTGATATTTATTTTTAATTTCTATTAACGGTTTATATCTTCCTCGATTCTCTTGGCTTACTTCACAAATATTAGCTGAAATGAAAAAGAGTGGAGAAATTTTAGTCATTACAAGTGATGAAATATGGACCTTTCTTGACTACAACTATGCTGATGTAAATCCACATCTCCGAAGTTCCAAAGAAGAGGTAAATGACCCAATAGAATGACTGCTATCGCTGTTTAATCCACCTCTCCCATTCTGTAACTAGCAAAGGAGGTTTTTTTTAATTTGTTGGCAGAGAAATAGTCAAACGGTAAATTTGGTGTTGACCGAAGCAGATCATTACTATACATGCTGCATTCTCCGTTACGTACTACAAGAATATTATTTTAATAAATTTTGAGTTGATTCAAGCTTGGAGTTCCAAAGGTCTTATGTCATGGCAAAGCTACAACTTGCCGTTACAGATGTAGTCTGTTATTTTAAAGTATGCACTTCAGGGCCATTGCCAGCTCCTCCATTTGCAATCGTAAAACGTGACGTCATCATTGCAAAACATTTATTTTCTTCACATCATTTGAGGCTGTGGTTCAAGTCAACCTTCATTCACGCACTTTGCCAGATTTTCTTCGCTTGCATTTGAAAGCTCATTTAAATAACACAACATTACTTTCAAAGTTAATTTAGAATTCTAAAAACATAATTAATTTTTAATTTGATCTTGTTTAAAAGCAGAATCCTTGTTTAACGTTATATTTGAATAAATAATGTTTATTTCCCAAATGTTAATTAAAGACTATTTTATATATGGAAATCTATTAAACAAAAGCAACATACGCAAATTTTGGTTTAATGTAGAATCGAAGCATGCTAAACGGAAATTAAGTAGGGAAATAAAACTTAAGCAGCTTTTGACCTTTCTTCTGCAGCTATTGTTCTGATGGTTATGAGTCACATCGGGGGGGGGTGAAGTCACTATTTTAAAATAACAGGCTATTGTGTGATTCATTGAAAGTTAGGCATTAGACAGATGTTGTGTTAAAATTGAATTACGACGACAAAGTAAATGCTCTTTACTTATTTTACATATATTTCACGTGAAAAAGAATATTTTGGTAATACATTTGTATTATATAATTAATTAGCATATTACATGATATGAATTAATTAGTATATTACGTTTCCAGTTCCAATCCATCGTAATGAAGAACAAAAAGCAATAAAATGAGTCACATGGATTTTTTTTTTCAAAATGCATAAAAATATTGCCTTCAGTTGGCGATACAGAGGTGGTTGCTGACGACATTTGGATACTATTAACAATATATTTTCCCCCTCACGGTAGAAGCAATTTCCTATATTTAGTTGAATTATGCTTCTTTAATTGTAGACGTATCAGCAAATAACATTAAACTCTTCTCTCTGTCTAACGGAAGATAACCCAATACTGACATATACATTTAAATTTTACAAAAGTCTAATTTTGTAAAACAAGTAAGTTTTTTTTTCTCTCATCATTTGAATGCTCGCTGGAGTAGCACTTTTAATTTCTTGAAGAATTCTCAACTCTGCAATTTTTTTTGACAGAAATGTTTAGTTTTAAACTTTTCTCGGCATGACTGCTTTTTGAGATTAATCGATTTGAGATTATGATTTAAATAAAATATGTGTAAGATTTCCTTTCGCTTGAGCATTTAGATACAATAGTACGATTGTGAATATTCAATGAGAAATATATGATGTGAATCACTTTAACATGAGACAAAAATTAAATGTCTTCAAGAATAAAATAATAATATAGTAACAGCATTAGACACATAGATGCTGTCTGACTATTGTTCTATCTTATTTCTATAAATACGAAATAAAATACTTTGAAATACTATCAGAATTACCAGCACATGATACAAAGATAAAAAGATAACGAGTATGCTAAGCATACGTTAACGATCGATTAATCGGTGCGAGACTATTAAAAATTTTATACTCTCAGAAAGCATGAATTCTATGAATTGCAATATAGCATTGCACATATAAATCATAACTGTAAATAAGAAATTTTTAAAAAGATTAAATTTGAAATTTCCAGGTATCTTCAGGAGTTTCAAACTACTAAAATTCAAAACGTTACGAAAACATAAAAATTATAAAATTAAAATAAACAGATTTCAGTTTAAGAACTGAAAAAATTTTAAATTGAACTGGGAGGCCTATTACATTAAGAAAATTCCCTCATAAATTAAAGATATAGAATATAAACTTAAAATTAGGCAAAAAGGAAGCCTTAGTTTAGAGTAAATATTTGAATAAAATCGTTGATTTCAGGAGTGATTGGAGACAGATCCCTCTTCCTCAGGAGTAAAAAAATCTTCTAATGAACTTAAATTGAAATGTCATATTTA